CAGATATTCCCCAAATGACCCCTTTTTGAAAAGTAGACAGTCCAAGGTATTTAGTAAGAGGCATGGAGAGTTTTTTGAAGTTGTAATTTTTTGTCATAATTCTTTGGAAAACGAAGAAATGAACAAAAAAGAAATTCACGATATTTAATTTTTTTTTTTTTTTTACATGCTGTCACCAGTGCAGTACAGTGTCATCATACAATTGGTGTAGCGGTGATCAGGGGCACTGTCTGGTGACAGTACGAAAAAAATATATATATTTTTTTTTTTATTACATATTTTTTTTTTTTTTTTTTACACACTGTGACTACAGCAATATAATTTTACCATAGTAACATTGTACTACTCTGGGTCAGTGGTCAGTATTTTTTTTTTTTTTACACATTGTAATTGCTTATAGCAATTCATTTTATTGCTATAAGCAAGCAATTTACTGAGTGGAATCATTCAGTTTTTTTTGTTGTGATTATCTGTGATTGGCCACAGCTAATCACATGGCACAGATGGGCTGTGATTGGGCCCAGTCTGTACCATGAGATTGCTGTGAGCAATCACAGCTAGCAACACAATTGTACACAATGGATGGCATGAAAGGAAGCCATCCATTGTTTATAATTAACATGTGACCTGCTGTGATTAATCACAGCATTCACATGGTAGCAGCAGCGGGCTGGTACACTGATAAGTCATCGGCTGTGTCACACAGACGGTGATAGACCTCACCACAGCATGGCACGATCCGGTATGACGTCATATAGGGGTTTATTTACTGAAGCTGGAGAGTCCAAAATCAGACTCCCTTCTGCATAGAAACCAATCAGCTTCCAGATTTCATTGCCAAAGCTTCATTGAACAAGCTGAGGTTAGAAGCTGATTGGTTTCTATGCAGAAGGGAGTCTGATTTTGGACTCTCCAGCTTTAGTAAATAAACCCCATAATGTCTACCTGGATCAACAAAAGTCCTGCCCAGCCGTCACTGTGCTATAGGCCGTATGGGAACTGGTTAAGCTATGACAATAAAACTTGGAAGTTGACTGGTTTCTATGGAGAGCTGCACCAGATTTTGTAAGCTTCAGTAAATTTCCACCTTGTGCACCCTTATGATCTTTGCTGTTTATTTATTACAGATACTTGTATAGCACCATCCGTTTACATGCATTTTGTACATTCACATCAGTCCCCAACCCTCAAGGAGTGTACTATCTGAAGTCCCTAACTCATATTCATACATATCCATACTAGGGCCAATTTAGACAGGATCCAATCAACCTACCAGCATGTCTTGGAGTGTGGGAGGAAACTGGATTACCCAAAGGAAACCCATGCAGGCACAGGGAGAACATGCAAGCTTCAGGCAGGGGGTGCCGTGGTCAGGAATTGAACCAACGACCCTTGTACTGCTAGGCCAAAGTGCTAACCATTTAGCCACTGTGCTGTTCAAGTAGGTCTCCACTTCTCCAGGGTTACTAACCCTGGTCTAACTCTTCTGCAGGAAGAGGCGCAGCCTGGAAACGCGTCAGCCATTTGGAGGTCTATAATCCCCTGCAAGACACCTCTCAGGGAGATTGGAACATGCTGTAATTCATATTATGTGCCTTTGATTTTTATCCTTTTGTGAGTATATTACTTTTTTCATCTCCAAACACGGAAATGTTTCTTCACAGTGAGAACCGTGAAAATGTGGAGTTGGTTCTGGCCAACTCACTGGATTGCTTTAAAACAGGACTGGATTGTTTCTGTTACGGATCCTCCAGGTGGTACCTCTGGCAGCCCACTAGGCGGAATCACCCGGAGCGTGGAGTCTAAGTCCCAGTCTGCGTTTTCACCAGGGCCCCTGATGGTGGGGATGGACTTGGAGCAGAACCAGGACCAGGTCACGACCTCCGAGCAATACCACCAGTGGCAGAGGGAGCCTCTGGGGATGAGAGTAAGACAGAATAGAGCCAGATGTGAGGAGGCCGGCAGGACCAGGCAGGATAAACCGGCGGTTGTCACCGTGGGGAATGGCGAGGTACAGAGACGGCAGGCAGAAAGTGGTCAGGTCACACACAGGGTCAGTACCGGAGTCAGTCCGCAGAATGGTCAAACAAAGGGGGGTCGGGATAGGAGAAGGCAGCGTAGTCAGGGGCAATCCGGGTCAAACACAGGAGAAGGCAGCGTAGTCAGATAATCCGGGTCAGGGCTGGAGCAGGTAGAAGGTCAAACAATCCGGGTCTTTAATCACAGGGCACAGGTAACTTCAGGTAACAGGTCAGACCTTGCGGCGATTTGTGACAGTGCAGGGCATCTTTAAATATCGCGCCCTGCACTGTCATTGGCCGCCCAGGACGCGCCCCCGAGCTGTCATTGGCCGCCCGAGGCGCGCCTGCGGCTCCTACTGCGCATGCGCGGCCTCCTGTCAGCCGCGGCCCGCCGGGACCTGGTACTTGTGTCCCGGCGTGAGCCGCCACTAGTGCGCATGCGCCGGGGACGGAGCCGCGGCGGTCCCTGACAGTTTCTTAGATACACAGAATATAACTGGATACTAACATTTATAGGTAAAGTTGATCCAGGGAATATCTGATTGCCTCTCAGGGGATCAGGAAGGATTTTTTTTCCTTGCAGGAGCAAATTGGATAATGCTTTGCTGGGTTTTTTGCCTTGCTCTGGGTCAACTGTTGGTGTAGGATTATAACTTTTTTTTTTTTTTTTTTTTTAATGGTTGAACTGGATGGACTTTTGTCTTTTTTCTGCCAGACTAACTATGTAACTATACAATAAATCCATTTTTTTAAAAGGTAATGCATTGCGCCATCTGTTTGTTTCTTTGCCTGCATCTAACTCTTCTGCACTCTGTCTAAAACTAAAAAATTCTGCCTTTAAATACGCTTTAATGGTTGATAATCACAATCAAATCGCCCCTTTAGATGCACCCTATTCGGCAGTAAAGTCACAACGGCTGCTGAAAATTCCCTCTCTGTTTTGTGTTTATTATTTAAACAGGTGCCGCTCCTCCGCCAAGTCATTAGTGATAGATATTATCCTGCGTACAATGTATAACAGTCTGTGTACACTGATAAAATTCATGGGAGTCAACTTTATATGCTTTAAATATATATTAATATTTGATCTGCCAGATCAGTTATTTGAGGAATTCATGCGTTTGACGTGTCGGTGATTTACTAGGGAACGGGAAGATAAAAGAGTGACTGCAAGGTCAGGTTTATTGTGTTGTACCTGTGCCAGGTGAACGGGTACAGTGTGTTCTGCGTAAACCAAATGCACTTTCTTCCAATAGAGGCACACAGTCAGTGCCGGACAAAGAATCGTCCTGCAGCAGCTAGAACAAATAATGTTATTTCAATTTAAAAAAAAAAGAAAAAAGAAAAGTCAAACAAGTGCAACATTTTGTGCAGCTAGCCAAGAAATGATCAATTCTAAAGCAGAACTCCATTTTTTTTTTCTTCTAAGACAGGTTGCCCAGGTTAGAAGTAAAAAATGCAGCTTCACTTTGCCCCTGGCGCTGTCTCCCACCGCCCCAACGCTGCCCAACACATTTCTGTGAGCCGGGTTGTCATGAACATACCCCCTGGGGGTGCATAGCCACATCGAACTGGACTCAGAGTACAATACTGTACAGAGTTGCACTGATCCCTGTTCTCCTACTGACCTCTGAACTCTGCAGTGCTATGTGAAGGAGTCAGGAGTAAGTAACACAGAGTTCAGAGATCAGTAGTTTGTTACTTACTCCTGACCCCCACACATGGCATTACAGAGTTCAGACATCTGTAGTTTGCTTTACTTACTCCTGACTCCTTCACATAGCACTGCAAACTACAGATGTCTGAACTCTGTTACTTACTCCTGACCCCCCACACATGGCATTACAAACTACTGATCTCTGAACTCTGTGTTACTTACTCCTGACTACTGCAGTCTGCATTACTTTCTACTGATCTCTGCTTTATTTACTACTGCAGTCTGCATTACTATTTACTGATCTCTGAACTCTATTACTTAATCCTGACCCCTGTATTCTCTGTAAGAAAATACCGACCTCCAAATTCTGCTTCGCTTACTCCTGACCCTTGCACTCTGCACTACAAACTACTGACCTCTGAACTCTGTAACTCAAAGTGCAGGGATCAGGAGTTTGAAGAAAACACAGAGTTCAGAGGTCAGTAGTTTGCAGTGCAGTGTGCAAGGGTCAGGCAGTAAACAAAGCAGAATTCAGAGGTCAGTAGTTTGTAACTCAAAGTGCAGGGATCAGGAGTAAGAAACACAAACTACTGACCTCTGAATTCTGCTTTGTTTACTCCTGACCCTTGCACACTGCACTGCAAACTACTGAACTTTGACCTTTGTTACTTACTCCTGATCCCTGCACTCTGTGTTACAAACAAATAACCTCTGAACTGTGTGTTACCTTCTCCTGACCACCGCACGCAGGGTTACAAACTACTGATCCCTGAACTCTGTTACTTACTCCTGACCCCCACACACTGGGTTACAAACTGCTAATCTCTGAACTCTGTTATTTACGCCTGATCCATGCCCTCTGTGTTACAAGCACCTGAACTCTGTTGTTTACTCCTGACTCCTGCACTCTGTGTTAAAAACTACTGAACTCTGTGTTACTTACTCTTGACCCTTGCACTCTACATTACTTTCTACTACACTCTGACCTCTGCTTTATTTACAGCTGATCTCTGAAATCTGCATTCAGAGGTCAGCAGTAATGCACACAGTAACTGGGTGTGAACTGGGCCCATTGGAAACAATAAGTTTCAGTTTATCATCCTCTTTGGCCTGCATTGAGCAACACACCCCAACACATGTGGTGTGAATGAGGGGCTTTTCCCCTTTTTTTTTGCCCCCAAGAAGCACTTCTACTTTGACTTTATGATCCTCCGTACCCTCTGGCATCTGGGGCTCTCCTGCTCTCTCCTATGGTACAACAGTGTACTGACCTTCTGTGTCCTCTGCTTCAGGGACTCATCTTAAGGTGTTACTAAACCCCGGACCCTGCATTCACTATATCTGGTCTCCCCGGACCCTGCATTCACTATATCCGGTCTCCCCGGACCCTGCATTCACTATATCTGGTCTCCCCGGACCCTCCATTCACTATATCTTGTCTCCCCGGACCCTGCATTCACTATATCTGGTCTCCCCGGACCCTGCATTCACTATATCTGGTCTCCCCGGACCCTGCATTCACTATATCCGGTCTCCCACAGTACACACAATATGGAAATGCAACTATTTTAGTAAATATAAACTGCTAAATACCTTTGCTCATCAGCAGTTAGAGCAGTCTTGTGTCTTCTATCAGTGTCTAGCAGACCACTGGTTAAAGCTTGTAGGAGGAGTTTTCATTCTCCTCTAGGGGGATGCAGAACCTCTGACCTCTGTCTGGACAGTGCTGATTGGCCCTGTGCTGATCACATGCACCCTCCCTAGAAAAAAAATACCAAACTCTCTAGCAATGTAGATCTAGATGATCCACACTGGCTCACAACTGATATGATCCAGAAATATTTAGAGAGAATAAAGGTGAATAAAGCTCCTGGACTGGATGGCTTACACCCACGGGGCCTTAAAGAATTGAGCTCTGCCATTTCAAAGCCATTGTTTCTGATTTTTATGGAGGAGCTCAGCTATGAGGAGATTAAAGGTGGATATGATCTCCATGTATAATACATAAGGGGGATATGATCTCCATGTATAATACATAAGGGGGGATATGATCTCCATGTATAATACATAAGGGGGGATATGATCTCCATGTATAATACATAAGGGGGATATGATCTCCATGTATAATACATAAGGGGGGATATGATCTCCATGTATAATACATAAGGGGGGATATGATCTCCATGTATAATACATAAGGGGGGATATGATCTCCATGTATAATACATAAGGGGGATATGATCTCCATGTATAATACATAAGGGGGGGATATGATCACCATGTATAATAAATAAGGGGGGATATGATCTCCATGTATAATACATAAGGGGGATATGATCTCCATGTATAATACATAAGAGGGGATATGATCTCCATGTATAATACATAAGGGGGGATATGATCTCCATGTATAATACATAAGGGGGGATATGATCTCCATGTATAATACATAAGGGGGGATATGATCTCCATGTATAATACATAAGGGGGGATATGATCTCCATGTATAAATACATCAGTGGTTCATATAGTGAACTCGGTGTAGAGTTATTCACCCTGAGGTCATCACAGAGGACAAGGGGGCGCTCCTTACATCTGGAGGAAAAGAAATTTAATCTCCAAACACAGAAAGGTTTCTTCACAGTGAGAGCCATGCAAATGTGGAATAGACTCCCTCAAGAGTTGGTTCTGGCCAGCTCAGTGGATTGCTTTAAAAAAGTCCTGGATTCTTTCCTAGATACACAGAATATAACTGGATATAACATTTATAGGTAAAGGGGGATCAGGAAGGAATTTTTTTCCCAGCAGGAGCAAATTGGATCATGCTTTTCTGGGTTTTTTTGCCTTCCTCTGGATCAACTGTGGGTATAGGATTATAACTCTTTTTTTAATGGTTGAACTGGATGGACTTTTGTCTTTTTTCAGCCAGACTATGTAACAATTCACACCAAACTGAGCATGTGCAGAGTGACTCCAAACCTCGGTTTTAGCAGGAGATATTTAGGGGACAATGGAAGAAGGGGAGGATCAAACAGTGTTTTTACACAATGCAGAGGATTAACCCCTTAGGTTCCACAGTGAGTATAACAAGCATGCTTTACTGCATATACAGACTGATTTTACTGTTGTGGGTTTAGTAACACTTTAACTTTAATAAGAAAAGTGGAGATCGGAGATCTACATTAACCTCAGTTGCCAGTTGTGGGTTTTTTACACACTGTCGAATGTCGGGCGGCTTCGGCCGGTTCAATAAAATCTGGCCAACATTCGCCCCACGTGTACAGAAGACGGTTGGACAGAAGCCGACCGTTTCAGCAGGCTTCGTCGAAGGGGCATTATCAGAAAAGGTTTGCCATTCAGCTCCCGATCAGCGCTCTCAGCCGATGGCTGAAAGCGCTGACTGGCGTGTTCTAGCAGGGGGGCCATCGCCCCTGTCAGAACACAATAAAGTCGCAGGGGAGATTGCTGTTCTAACATCAGATAGTTAGTACAGAGGCTCCTCATGAGCTGTCAGTTTTTTTTTCATTCAGACTGCTGGGTTGAAAGAAGAAAAAAAAAAAAAAAAATAGTGATGTGTACCAGGCTTAAGCCCGGGTTCACACTGATGCGGTGCGGAATTCCCAGCATTTTCTGTGCGAATTCCGCACTGCATCAGAATCACACCCCATTCATGCGAACCAATGCGGGTGTGTATGTTAACCATTTGCCGCCCGCCCTATGGCCGAAATGGCGGGTGGCAAATGTCATCAGCGTTCCGGGTGGACGCCATATGGCGTCCTCCCACACATGCGCAGATTGTGCTCCTGCAGTGCAACAAAGCGGCGCGATCTGTCACCGGCCGTGTACCTCGGACACGGCCGATGACAGATCTGAGTATCGGCCCCCGTTGCCAGTACCATGTGACCTGCTGTGACCAATCACAGCAGGTCACATGACAGTTGTATACAATGGATAGCTTCATTCATGCCATCCATTGTATACTAGTGTCTAGCTGTGAATGGTCACAGATAATCACATGCACATGTCATGTGATTAGCTGTGGCCAAACCACAGCTAAGCACAAAAAAAAAAACCCTGAATGAACCGATGTCATTCAGGTAAATGCTTGCTTATAGCAAAGTAATTCTTTGTTATAAGCAAAATTGTGTAAAAAAAAAAAATACTGATCACTTCCCCAAAGTAGTACAATGTTACTATGGTAACATTGTACTACTTTGGTCATAGTAAAATATGAAAAAAAAATCTTAAAAAAAAGAAAACAAATTTAATAAAAAAATAATAAAAAAAAAAAAAAAAAAAATATATTTTTTTTTTTCATACTGTCACCAGTCAGTGTCCCTGATCACAGCCATGCCAGTTATATGATGACGCTGTACTGCACTGGTGACAGTATGTAAAGAAAAAAATAGTGAAACTAATTTTTTAAATTTTTTTCATTTTCAGAAAAATTATGACAAAAAAATACAACTTCAAAAAACTCGCCATGCCTCTTATGAAGTACGTCGGACTGTCTACTCTGCAAAAAGGGGTCATTTGGGGATATCTGTACTATTCTGACATTCTGGGACCTCAAGAAATTAGATTGGCTGTCAGTACTTCAGGATTGATCAATATTCAGATCTATACCATAGTTTGTGAACTCTATAACTTTCCTACAAACTAAATAATACATCCTAATTTGGGTTATTTTCACCAAAGACATGTAGCAGAATACATCTCGGCCTAAATTTATGAAGAACAATTATTTATTTGCAAACTTTTATAACAGAAACAAATAAACTTTTTTTTTTCAAACTTTTTGGTCTTTTTTTGTTAATTTAGCAAAAAATAAAAACCCCAGTGGTGATTAAATACCACCAAAAGAAAGCTCTAGTTGTGTGAAGAAAATGATAAAATTTTAGTTTGGGTACAATGTTGTATGACCGCGCAATTGTCATTCAAAGTGTGAGAGCGCTGAAACCTGAAAACTGGCCTGGGCAGGAAGGTGTAAAATTGCCCGATATTGAATTGGTTAAGTTAAGAACACCCCAAAATCGGTCCGCAAAATGCGGTGCGATGTGCAGAATCAGATCACAGATCACATAGGTGTGAATATCCATGTGATCCGATTCTAGTGTGGACCCAAAAAAGGGTCCTGCACCTTTTTGGTGCGGGTTCAGTGCGATTTGATCCATACATAATGTATAGCTCCAATCGCACCGCAAACAAATGGTATGTGATTCGCACAGAAATGCGGTGTGATTCCTGTGCGAATCACATGCGATGTACCGCCACCACATTAGTGTGAACCCAAGCTTACAGCCTGGAGGGAGCCTGCAGGAGTAGGTCAGTAAAAGTGCTCTTTGCACACAGGCATTTAACCCTTGCAGTGCGTGGGCAGCCCCATTGCAAGAGAGCATATTTGTTTCCCCTGTTCGGCTTTAAGCCTTTTTAAATATATTCAACAAACTTTTCTTTTAACGGCAAAATATCCTTTGTATCCAAAAAGGCAACTAAGAGTTACAAAGTCCCCAGGCACTGATTCCACGTCCTGTGTGTTTTTTTTTTCCCTCATTTTTGTACATGAAGTTCCCTGAGGGATAAGGAAGGAAATAATTATTTTTCTGCTCCAGTGATGTGTGCCTAAAATTGGACAGTACAGTCAGCTGACTTCTATAGTGTTTTGTTTTTTTTTTTTCCTGTAGGCGTATCCCATCCCCTTGCAAAGTCTATGTATAGCCAAAAGTTTTTTTTTTCTCTTTTGGATAAAATAGAGAAAAAGATGAAAAAATGTATCAAGTAATTTTTAACAGTCTATTTGGGTGACATATATCCAATTTAGCATCAACCGCCTCAAAAGGAACTATTTATGAGGAATTACAGTCATGGTCAAAAATCTTGTCCCCCCCCTGCATTTCTGTCAGATAATGCACCGCTTCGCTCAGAAAATTGTTGCAATTACAAATGTTTCGGCATTCTCATGTTTATTTCTTTAGTTTGTATTGGTATGAGACAAAAAAGTGGAAAAACAAAAAACCAAATCTGACACATTCCACTCAAAACTCCAAAAACGGATTGGACAAAATTATTGGCACCCCCAATTTAATATTTTGTAGCACACCCCTTGGAAAAAAATAACTGAAATCAATGGCTTCTTGTAACCATCATGAGTTTCTTACACCTCTCTGCTGGAATTTTGGACCACTTTTCTTTTGCCAACTGCTCCAGGTCTCTCAGATTGGAAAGGTGCCTTTAGCCTCCACAAAGAGGTGCCGTCATGAAGTGAAGGTGTTGGTTGAGAGGATAGAAAGCACAGAGGTTCCCATAGGCAGGACCGTGTCCTTTTGTGAGGCTCTATTGGTGCTGTCAAAGGGTTATTCTAGCTGCAAAGGTACAGTCCAGCACTTTATAGTGCCTACTGGCCAAGACTTGGCTTAAAGTGGAACTCCAGTCAAATCAGGTAGGAAGGGAAGGTTAGGGACTCCATCAGGGTTTTATTGCCATCTGGGTCCCTATAGATGTCCTTTGGAAGACAGACGAGGGAAGACCTAGTAGCTCAATAAGTACAAATGTTAGAAATTTCCATGCTATGGTATTTCCCATCACTATCTATAGATGTGAAAGCTGGACAAGGAACAAGCACAATAGGAAAAGTGTTGATGTCTTTGCACTTTGTTGTCAGTGTTTGATGTTGGCAAAGAATGTTAAGAACACTGTGGACAGCAAGGAAAACAAACAAGCATTCTTCAACAAATCAAGCCCAACCTTTCACTAGAAGCACTGATCACTAGGCTGAGGCCGCCTTATTTTGGACATATGAGAAGCACCAGCTTACTGGAAAAGAAAATTATGCTTGGAAAAGTTGAAGGGAAAAGACAAAGAGGAAGGTCAACAACAAGGTGGATGGAAACCGTCACAGAAATGATGAACATGCCTTGGCAAAGCCTTAAGACCGAAACTGAAGCATCATTCTGGGGAAACACTCTCCATGTGGTCACCAAGAGTGGACATGAGCTTGACGATACCTAATAGAAGATACAATAGGTAGTCAAATCTCACTACTCTGAGTGAAAATCTCATCTTTGAAGGTTTTCACCCTAACTGGTGTCACGTTTGGAAGTTTTTTTCTAACATTTTAGATCCCCCTTCACTTTTTATGGCAGTGACAACAGTTACCAAGACAAAAATTGATTGCTCTAAATGGGTACATAGAAAACAATATAAACCTAACATGGGTTCTGACTCTTCTCCATTCTCTCCAAAACAAGGAACAGTTTGGCTTTAGCCCCCTTTTAATACCCCTGCTCCAGGACAGGTTTAGCCAACAATGGTCTTATCCTTTTTGTTCCTTGTGGTTTGTGAAGTATACCATTAAACAGGTTCTGTCACAGCATTTCTGTTTGTTACCTGTTGATCCTGCCAGAAATGTAGTGAGCTGATAATTTCCTATGCTTTCTGCTCATGCTGCACTTTTCCCAGTCCCAAGTTCTTTCTATGGACTACAGATCACCTCTCTCCTATGTTATTGAATAAAGAAAAAGGAGGTGTTCTGTAGTCTTGTTCTATAGTGACAAAACTGATACATAGAAATAGTACAGTGATGTCAAGAGCATGAGTTAAGCTCATGCTTCTACTGTGTTACCTACTGCCCAGGCAATGAAGACAACCCTTGTCTCTTCCTATTGGCTGGAGGTGGCCTCTGGCTTCTCTATGGCTGCAGTAGGCCCCGTCGGGCCCCGTTCTGTGGATGCCACCTCTTTATTGGCTAGTGGTGCTCCCCGGGCTCTGGGCTTGTGATAACATTTTGCTTTCATGGTTGTACCTATGACTATCCATGTGGTCACCAGGAGTGGACATGAACTTGATGGCACATAATAGAAGGTATAGACAGCACCATTCATGGACTTCTAATCTTAGATTGCCAGCCTCTATCTGGTTTCAAGAAGCACTGTGTGATGTGAACCATCGGGGGGGGGGCCCTTTGTGGGCAGAAAAGAGCCTCTCAGAAGACCCTACGACACTTGGATTACTTTTTCAGATTGCTAACAGCTTTGATCTTTAGTGAATTATGCTTGCCCACCACATGCTTTGATCCTGGAACCAATCTCTGGATTATGCAAACAGCTTCAGCCTTTCCAGACCTCAACTAACCTCTGGACTGTGGCAAAGATGCTCTTCTATGACCCATGCCTGACTAGCCTAGAATAAGTACGCTTTCCTATTTTCTTCTCTCAGTCCTGGTGCCCTCTGTTCAGGAACTGTGACAATGTGTACTAAGACTTGGGGGCAACCAAGTACCAATAGTCCTGCTTGCCTCAAGTCAATAGGGGGCTAAAGGTAGAAGAAACACTTACCAGCTACAGTTCCTGGCCTAGGTGTTGGGTTGAACTTCACAAGTGGGTAAGCGCTGTCACCCTAGGTAAGTTAGGGTGTTTATCAGTAGAAACAAAAAGAGATAAAAGCCTAAAAAAGAAAACAAATGAAACCACCACACCTAAGGACCGGAATGCTGAATTATATTATATTTTTGTTTATGGCTTTAAATACATTTTAAGAACACTTGGACATCTTTGGAAAAGTGATCTTCATCCCCGGCAATAAATTATATCCTTACAAGATAATTGTTATTTTTTGGAAATACATTGCCCTCTCCAAATTTATGGACATTCATTCAGCTAAGACCATAAATCTCCTTACTGTGACCTTGCTGCTGGGAGGAAATTAACCTGGGTTATTCTGTACTGAATGAGAAAGACAGGAAAACAACCTCCCCACTTGACAATCTCCCAGCCTGTGACGGAGCAAAGCCTACTGTAACTAATAAATGCAAAAAGAAATTTTATATTTGAAGCTGACTCTCTGTTCAAAGAGCAGGAAGTATCCCAACACAATGGGAATCATTGAGCCAGAAAGCTGCCTTGCTTCTCTCCGAGTCTTGCATTGGTTTCAATTAAGTAAAAATAGCTTTATAGTATGTTGTAGTTATGTGTACACACTTACAATACAAAAAATGCATTCTATTCCAGACTAACCTAAATTGTTAATTCCTTAATAAAAACAACAAAACCAAGCTGACTCTGTGTGTGAACATGTGGAAAATGCATGGTGCCTGGCTGTGCTGGGCTTAGGGGGACCCATCAAATTCAGCAACCCTTAAGAGGGTGAGCACTACAAATGTGCAAACCTAACA